CTTGCAATACTCAAGAGATACGAGAGTTTTTGGAGAGACTATTTTTAACTTTATCTACAGTGTTTCCGACGGGTTCCTTTTTTTGCTGGCGAGAAGCTCAACACATGGGGTGTTCTGATTCTGATTGAGTCCTTCTAATTTTCCATCTTTATGAAAGTGGCTTCCAAGGAATGGTCCACGCCGACCATGTAGGCGGAGGCAGACCTACTGTACCTTCTCATTGGCCCTTTTTTTTCTTCACTGTACTAGAGTGAAGGACAACTAGTAAAGGACAATGTGCTAGCTGTCCTACAAAAGCCTGCTCGTCCCGCACTGTCAGCATGAACTGCGTCTCCGCAAATCAATGGAAGGGTGGTAGACACATTCAAGTTTCGGAATTATAGTCGGATGGCTGACATGTCGGGTATTTTGTACTTTTCACCCTCCAATAAAATACTAATTCTTTTCAGTCCGCGATCGACAATGCAAACACGCTTCTCAGCACGATTCTACCGTATATTGGCAGTAAGATCACTATTCTCACGGTGAGTGTATCACTAGTTTGCTACGGTCCTTAAGCGGTTTATGCGCTCAGCAGATGGCGCGAACGTATTTGGGGGCGGGGTGAGGGTTGACCACTCCATTGCGCCTCTGCATCCCTTCGTTTTCGTTTAGGGCGCAGACGACCGCTATCGACCACGGATTGCCTTGCAGAGAAGACAGTCCCCACTGAGCCTAAGTCATGATTGGGGAATTGGGGAAGAGATGTGTAGGCGCAGGAGAGTGGTAACCTGCCCTCCCCCCCCTTCGCCACGATTCCTCCCCCCCCCCAGCTCATACCACGATTACGTTAGCGCCCATTAGATTTTCATCACAAACGTTTGAAGCGTTCAGCGCAGCCGCTAAGGCGGTTGAGGTGGGGGTCAGTCGGCAGACCAGCACATCTTCTGTCAAGATGTTCTCTCAGAAGGCTGGTGTTCTGACCTTGTTGACGCAGTCAGACGCAGATGAGCAGAGAAATGAATGTGGATGTGACTGGGGCCTATCGCTGCTCCTCCTGTACTTTAAAGGCAGTTGGCACGATGGTTTCCTACTTAGCCTAAAATGCTAGTAGGGCGCTGTATAGTGGGGAAATGGCGAAAGAACGGAGTGAAACGGTCAAAATCCTGCGAAGAAAAAGCCTCCGTTCTCAGTGACTTGTAAATCGATTTCGGACGAGTTTCCCGTAGGCATCTTGCCAATCACCGCTACCGAAGATACGGCTGCATATGTGTACCCATGTATGCATGCAGCATCACGGCCGCTTCATACCAATCCCTTCGCTTCATAATTTGCTTAGCAAATGAATGAATACGAGCGTCAGGAACGGTCGTCCATTTGTGGGCGGGCGGGCGTGGCGGGCGTTTGGGACGTAAATGTTGTGGCTTGATAGGGCCCTTATAAGGGCACCTTCCTTGGAAAACCATTATGCAGCGCCTGCTCAGGGTCGCGGAATTCTATCCTGCCAGGAGTATTGATCCTAGTCGTCTTGGGGGATTTATCGTGCCAACTGCCTTTAAGCTTGAATTGCTTCTACAACCACCCGTTGAGGTGATATTTTTCAGTTATCCGAAAAAAATTCTTTTTGTGGTTTAGGTGGCGACACCACGTCTGTTCGACGATTCACTACGTCTAATCACAGAATGCACACCGAATTTGACGCATCTGGCTCTGGACGTGAACCACCTGAGCACCCATATACTACAACGTTACTTCTCAGGTAGGATCTTTCAAAAAAATGGGTGCTGGGCTAGTTCCTGCTCATGTGCGACCTCTTTCCGAGACTGTTCACGAAACCCGCTGAACAGTACTTCGGTGAGAGGACGCAGACGAGCAGAAAACGGCCATTACTCCGAATTTGACATGCATAAGTACGACCTGTAATGTCTGCTTTTAGGTGGCGCCAAATCTCAAGGTTCTCGTTTACGATCGTTGAAGATATGCCGCATGAGAATCACGTACCGAGTCTTGTTCGCTATTGCCCGCGGGGCGCGAAATCTCATTGTAAGTGAAGCAGATATCTTTTTCTTTCCAGAATTCTTTCATCAACAAATCAGAGGGGGGAGGAGGGTTGGCATCACAAATGTTTGTAAATACTGGTGAATGGTAGCATAACTGACGCATGCGGTTACGTGGCGGCCAACATGCCGCGACGCGACCGCCCGCGTCCAATCCTGGAATTCCCAATTCATCACTATTTTCGATGACACGAAGTTTTACCACCTTTGTCACTTCCACTATTGAATACAGAAGTAGCGTTTGATTAAGGACCTCGAAACATCACAAATGCTGTCAGTCGACGATCGATTTCTTGCGATTCTCGGGGAGAATTGCCGACAGTTGAGGTGTATAAATCTGAATGGATGTAGATGGGTGAGCGACAAAGGCATGGCGGCTCTGGCAAGGTGAGCATGACTCTTCTCGCCCAGAAGGGGTTTCAGATTTCCAGTAAGATTCTGAAATTCACTAACCTTCTTACTTTTAGACGTTGTCCACTGCGAGAGGTTCGTATCCGTGGTACAGCCTGTACCGACAAATCTATTTACACGCTTGCTCAGTTCTGTCCCGATCTCGAGTGGATCTCTTATGCTGACTACTCAGGTAAAGGACTCGTAGACAGGAGAGCATGGAAGTGCGGGTATAGTTCATCACATCTAGGCGCGGCATTTCTCCAAAAGCACTCTTGGCTGTTGACTCAAACGCGCTTTTGCGCTGCGGATGCTTGACGGCGTGTCGGCGCGAGAGTGCACATCCAAAACGCTTTTTAGAGGGTAGGAACATAAAGCTGGTCACGCGTGAACCCTTCAACCGTAATGGCGCACCATCGATGCCACACGACGGGCGATCGTTTCTGGTTGCTAAGGAGGGACCGGTATCACAGTAAGTTCTTGAGTTGTTGATTTTACCCTAATTATGGTGGTATAGTTACCAGTTTGGCAGCGCTTCAAACCTACTGTTTCTGGTGCTTTGTGGAGCGTTTACCTATCCCCCCAACAGCTAGATGGAGAATTATCAGATGAACCAGTAGGCATGGAAGAATGATACACAGCACGGACGGCGAGGAAGTTCGAAAACTGAAAAAAAACCGCAAGGAAATCCCACATGCCAATAGCTGGTGCGAATTTGTTAGCCTCTAAAAAATGCGAATACTGTAGACTTCTTCTGTGGGACCGTATACAGCAGTTTATTCGGCTTACGCACGTTTCGGCGAGACCGCCTTCATCAGAGCCTGAAAGGACCGAAACGATTTGCGACTATCCGATCAAATGTCTCTGCAGCCTACTGAAGTTCGACCCTAGACAGGTCATCACCCAATCACGGGGAAGAGCACTTACCGTAATCCAGTCGTCCAGAACCAATAGGAAAAATGCGAATGTTTGGGATAAAGCCGTGAAACAAACTACATTAGACGTGGGCCACCATGACCCTCCTGATCTGACGCCGGGGTACTATGTCGGGTCAACTAGCCAGGAACACTGGTTTGAGCGCACTACCGCAACGCCGTGAAATGTGCTGAATTACCGGCCAGTATGATATCTATAGTCGTTTCCCCTGCAGTGCTGAGGCGGGTCATGGTATTTGGTTTGCGCGGCGCCAGTCTGTTATCCACCAATTGTTGTCGCTTAGCCCGCTTCAACACTTGGTGGAAAAAGGGCTGGCGCTGTGCCAGTCACGGTCCTGACACGCCCCAGCATGCGCAGCAAAAACAACTGTATTTCATCTGTTTTTTCATTCAGGTCGACCAAAGTTCACCGACAAAGCGCTTCAATTTCTCAGGGATTCATGTATTCAGAAAGTCATCTGCTAGTCAATCACCAATACGGGACATTTGTAACATACAACTAACCTAAGCATACACTTACAAACACTTATGTACACTTAGTAACTAATTTGACCAGTGAACGATGAACTGTGATAAATTGGCGTAAGCGAGAACTACATGGGTCATTTCGCACTCTGTTTTCATATAGCGTTGATCTTGTTATTTGTCCTGAATATTCTGCTGTTATTGGTGATAATATTCGTATAAATGTTATTTGTTTATTAAAAGTCCTAGCTCTCGTGGTGAATAATCAATAAGCATAATGAAATTCCAACAGGAAACACAACAAAAACAAAACGAGACAAGCGATAGTCTCGAGAACGCATTTGGAAACTTCATCATCTCTCTGAAAATTTTGCAATCACTGCTGTTGTCCTGGTTGGTTGTTTTCGCCGCCTTCATTCTCTCCGCCTTCATCTAAATTTTATCGTTTTGAAAAAATACAAATAAAAGAGTAATGGTGTACCGTGCCAAGGGAGGGGAGGCAGGGGTGGGAGACGCGGCCTGTTCTGTTCGTCTGCGTCCTCCTAGTGAGATAGTGATCCACCCAACCGGCCTAGCCTCAGAGAACGTAGACAAACAAAGTGGGCGTGGCCTAGTCTTGTATTGCGCTCTTACTTCTTTGTTACCGCGCCGACAGAGCGACTACGGCGCGTTAGTAAGAAACGTTCTCTTGGCGGGATGGAAAGCGTCAATCACCAGTCTCGGCGAAATGCAATTCGCGTCAGGACCAAATCCATCTGGAGCAGTGCATCATCTGGGAATTTGGAACTTGCTAGTGAGCGCGATGCCGCGACTAGGACATAACGCTCCAAACCGCATGCCCCTCCCTTGTCCAATACCACATCAAAAATTGCACTGACTTGGCCCATGACCTTCAAATTGTCGTCTCAACTGCTCGACGAATTCTGGATTTGTCTGTTGCATTTGTTGCGCAAGCTTAACGGGTAATGATTAAAGATGGTTAAAATGTCTAAAAATGATACTGAAAACGAATGAAGAATAGAAAGTTGGATGAAAAGTTAAAATAAGAACTAATTAACGGACATAGTTTACACTCTTTATTTGGGAGATAGAGAGGGCGTGGCTGGGTACTTCATTCGAACAGGACGCGGTTTTTGTGGGATACTGCAGGTTGGAGACAAATGTAACCAAGCTCTTGATTAGCACAGGAATAGACAGCTGTGAATGCAAACACTCCATGAAAACGCATTCTACGCTGTACCGTGTAGATGTCCACATGAATCACCCAGCTCCGCCCTCCCTATCTCCGGGATATGGAGCGCATCGTCTGGGAATTTGGAACCTGGAAGTCTGTTCTGTTATAGCCGTGCTCTCTTGAGACAGTTTGACCAACTGCCATGGTGGGGGCGGGGGATTCGCAAAACACGATCCCCCAAATTACCCCTCTGCTAGTACCCCCTTCCCCATCCTCCATCCTACCTACGACCTTCCTAATTTCCGGAACTTCCTATCACTTATCCGGAGTTTTTTTTTTGGAAAATCCTCCCTTTCTAAACTCGCCTTAGAGAAAACTCGTTGAGCGGGAGTGGGGGAGGCGCACAACAGACATGAAACAGGAAAAAGAAAACAAGCAAGGTCAACAACCCAAAACGTTTTCCTCGGAGGCAAATACGACCCCCTTATAGCGACTAAACACGACCCCTTCGCTAGGAATTCCCGATGTATTATGTGCCCTGAGAGCGCATTCCCGATGTAACATTCAAGGAGTCAAATTACGAAACAGATTTTTGACCAACTATCCCACTGGAATTTCTTGTAGGAATCTTGCTCTGGATCACAAGAGGGGGTTGTAAGGAATGATACAGAAAAAACATTCAAAAAAACCACTTACTTGTTGACCAGCTTGGAAAATGTTTCCGAATCCTGCATTCCCTGACATCAATTGGCCCATCATATTTTGGATGTTGGGATCGTTCATCAGCGTCTAAATAAAACAAATCCAAAGATAAGAGAGAACGACACAAAAGATATGTAGAAGGGCAAACGGCTTGAACAGGTTTCTGGGTTTGCTTCTAGGAGCAAGACGTCAAAATGATAGACCTTTCTGATCGATTCGGTTTTTGATGCGCCTTGCACCTTACTCCAAATCGGAATGGCATTTTTGGAAGTGTGTGAGCCGATGTATTTTATTCTCCCAGACACCTGGAAGGACTTAGGGACTGGTTAGCTGGAACAGTTCAAAAATCTGACCCCCTCTCCCCATTACAGAGCGTGGATGGAAGTGCTACTCAGCCCAGGGCACGTCTTCCCAAGGGCGGGTGGGGAAACTTACGAGAGGTATACGACATTCCCCCTTTAAAACCCTCCTTTGGTACGACTCAATTCACCTCATCGTGTAATCCTACTGATTTTTTCGAATTCACATTCTTTCTCCCGTAAGTTTCACAGTGCGCGCCGTAAACTTTGCTGCCGCGGGGAGGGATAATTTTTCTGAACCTACGATCTCCTTCCTAAAGCGCCATGCGAACACGACATCCTCCATTGGGAGTTTCACTTGATGTGGATAGCGTTCGTGAAACAGTAAAAATCAATTGCCAAAAAAACTACTACAGCCGAACATGACCCCTCCCTACAGCAACTTCATGTGACCCCACTATGGATTCCTTAGCGTACTTGGTGGTGCCGCTCACTAACACCACATAAACATTAGGCCCCATAATTGCCAAAAAAGTTTACTCTAGCTTAATAAAAAGAACGAAAACGCCACCTGCGCCATGTTTAACATCTGTGGATTGTTGAATAAGGATGCGAAATCTACACCAGGAGGCAATCCTGCTCCTCCTGCTCCTGCTCCGCCAAACATAGCAGCAAAAGGATTCTAAAAACTATCAGGATTGGTCAGCATTTATTCGTTAGTTATCTAGGTGCTGTTCAGCTTGGGAAGGGCGTTTTCCATTTTCGCTAGTTCCTTTTGCAAGCTCTCGTTAATTTCCATGTAAAATCCCTTATTAGACATATGGACTCTCATCAAATGTTAACGAAGCTCAACATGGCTTTATAGGAGTTTGAAGGTCTCCACAGAAGACATCAGTAGTGATCTATGGGGACCAAAGAAATGCCCCCACCAAGCTGAACTGCGCCGCTATCTAGCCGAACATGTGACTTACCGGTTGCGCTCCACTTGCTTGTGCTGCTGCCTCAAGCTCCTTCACTTTTTCCTCGGCAATTTTCAAATTATTTTTGAAGCTTTCCTGATTAGGATCCAGCTCAAGGGCCTTCTTATAGGCTTCCACAGCTTGCTCATAACGATTTTGACATGACAAAGCCAGTCTGAAACAATATTAATTTTTCGACCCCTTCTACGTGTTCCCCTAAAAGGAGTGCAAAATGCAAAAGCTAAATGGTTTCGCACATGCATAATTGATCCAAATAGGACAATCGTGTTAAGCATGCTACTGTAAGATCGTTTTTATGCACGTCGCAGCGTATAAATTATCGATTATGGACAGAACATAATGGTGAACACAGCATTTGAAAATTCCTTCGAAATTCATGCAAAAATGAGAACCAACAACGTAACTGAAATAAAAATTACCCCATTCTTCCATAGGCTTTGCTATATTTCGGGTCAAGAGCGAGTGCTGTCCTGCAGTCTTGGATTGCGAGATCGTATTGTTCAAGGCGGCAATATGCAGCAGCTCTGAGACAAGGAAACAGGCTCAGAAAACTATTCAGATGACACGTATTGACCTACCTGTTGCAGAAATAAACGGGATCTCGGTTCAGTTTGATAGCCTCATTATATTTACTAACAGCTGCGTCAAACTGAGACGCTTTCATAAGGTCATTACCCTAAATAAAAAAGCAGTAGGTGGAAAAATTACTAAAAATTCAAGAACTCTACTCAACCTACTTCTTCTTTAAGTTTATTCGCCTCTGCAATTTCCGCTTCAGTCGGTTCTGGCAACTTATCCTCTCCCTAAAGAGATGAATTTTGAACAATATCATTGCATTCGCTTGCTCTGCTTCCGGTAGGGAAGAATGGGCGCGAGTCCATTCGGGTCAGGGCACTTTCGGTCGCCGGGGAAAATTTGCAAAATGCGATCCCCAAACCCTCTCCGCTTCTCCCGTGCTACCCACCATTTTTCTAAGCTTTTTTTCCGGGAAGTTCCTCAGTTTTTCATCGAAAAGCTGCTATTGAGCAAGGAAGAGGAGTCTATATGAAATGGGAAATCGGAGAAAAGTCAACAGCTGGAAAAACTCTCTCGCGCCCAAAAAGTTTTCAAGTTACCACCCCTCTCTCAACGCGACAAGCATTTACGATCCCCATGAGTGGTGGGAGAGGGGGTGGTGGACCCCTCCACTGGGTATCAGCAATAGTAATGTGTAGGGCATATCATTGGTTGGGATTTTGGTCGAGCCCCCTATCGCCCTCTGCCCTCCTCGAGCTGTTGAGGAGGGGGCGGGGGTACATAGCACATGTCAAACGGGAAAAGCCGCGAGAAAACACGACCGCTCCCCTTCTACTAATTCATAGATTTTCCCCAACTTCCTGCCACTTTTTCCAAAACTTCCCTTGGTGCAAAATTCCCTATTTTTCCCAAAAAAACTTGCTGTTGATGGGGGGGGGGGGTATAAAGTACACATGAAACAGGAACCACAAAAGTCAATCACCACCTCTCAGAAGGCCGAAGCTAAATACGACAGACGACGACCCTTATCAAACGACCAAGTACGACCCCCCCCCCCATTAACCACACCCGTGAAGCGAGAAAAATCAACACTATCAAAATAAAATATTTTCAGCCCAAATACGAACCCCCTATTGGGGATCCCCAACAACGATGTGTTCTGGTAATGTGAGACGCCACCTTCAGCCGTCTAGGGAATATATACCGCACGTTGAACGGGAAAAATCAAAAACATCCCGAAAATCCTTCTCCTCAGCGACTTGGCCGAGGAAAACAGCCCTTCCTAATCATCTAATGAAAGGAAAACTGTTGCGGTGATCTAAGGGTTCTGCAGAAAATGCCATTCTATACTGGACTAGCACCGGAAGAAGCTCAACTGATAACAAGCTAAGACATGCACAAACCGAAGGAAGTCCTTCAGCCGCTATAAAAACATCAAGAAGAGGTTTTGACGGTTGAAAAGCATAGTTGGCATCAGTAAGACCAAACGCTGATTCCATACATTGTACAGCCACTGTAATGAAATAGCTTATACACGTTAACTTACAGAATTTAGGCACAAACATCTTGCACATGAGCATCTCTTTGAAGATCCCCCAACTGGACTTGCAGCAACATCTACATTAGAAGTTAAGGCAAAAATCTCGTAGCTATAAGATTTACCAACCTTCTAACGCCTCTATTTGATCCTCTGTGCACTGATTAGCGGATACTTTATGTCGAATGAACTGTATGAATGAGACTACAAGGTTTTTCTCATCACTTGACGCCACGGTCGTTGTCGTCGTCGGGGCAGCGTCGTCAGACATCTGAAAGTCACAGGCAGTACTGGACAAAACAAATCAGGAACAGAATAACGGCAGAATCAATATGGTCTCCTCTGTATGTCATACATCAAAACGAAAAAGTGTACATTCCACAATGGTTACTCCTTCACAGACTGCCATCTAAGAGCAAACCAGTAAAACCTTCATCCTTGGCACTAGAAAGAGAGAGCATTCAGACCCTTTCTGGGATGTGCCGCGCACTCGGCTTCCAGAAAAAGTGTACATTCCACAATGGTTACTCCTTCACAGACTGCAAGAGCAAACCAGTAAAACCTTCAAACTTGGCACCAGAAAACAAAAGGATTCAGTTCCTTCTTAAATACGCTGCGCACTCGGCTTCCACGTGTATCCCAAAAAGATTGCTCAACAGCAAAAGCTTTGCTTCGACCGTATATTTCACCCTTGAAGAAAAGTCCCATAAAGAGCTCCAAGGTAGGAATTCTTGTGAGCGGTTTCTCTGTGAATGAATAAGGTACCTGAACGTTACCACAGAAGCAAGTGTTCCTGGGAAATAGTTCAAAAGCGCTCAACATTTCCTTAACACAGGAAAGAAATATTTGAATCACGAAAGCGTATCCCCTCCTTGCCCTCAGTCGATGAAAACCCAGACATATGCGAAAGTTATGAGGCCAAGGTAAACGGGTACGAGCCGCTCTCAGCTGTTCAAAATATGGCGTTATCGGAAGCAAAGATCAACCCGCAATCCTTTCGATTTCTAACCTTTTGGATGTTATTAATTACAACAGGGCCTCATTCTGTAACAATATTAAAACGCTTCTTGGATGGACCCATTCGTTATACTGCAGTACTGTGACTTATCCGCTAAGCCAGCTCGGAAACGATTCTCAATGACATTACGCAAGTAAAGAATGATTCGGCGTTGTGATAAAAAATTGGCACTAAGCCTAAGCCTGAGGTAAAACACTCGAAATTACCCAAAATCAAACACCACACTCTTTTTAGGCTAGTATGCCAAAATATTACGAAAGAAGACCGTAATTTCTTGGTAGGAAAGTCCAAGAATTTCGAGCTTTCACTAGGAAAGCTTTGCATCATCACTTTTTTTCCTCGATGATTATTCCAAATCATGGATTATAGCGTTACGCTTGCAGGCTAAATAGCGGCTTAACAAAGTGTGCAATTCAGCTGGAAATGCTTCAGTTGAAGAACTTTTAAAAACTTAACCTTACAGTCAACAAATGGAAGTAACCCTTTAAATGACGAATACAAAAAGATAGCAGGATTCTAGATGGAACCGGCGAGCCTCAAAAAATAAGGATGAGCTGACAGAAGGTTTATGTAGGCTCAACACGATGACAATGCATAAAATGGTCGGGAATGCAAACGAATGCTCGAGACGATTTCATAGACGTCATCGCAGGACGCAATATTGCAGACCGTAAGAGATGACGCCATGTTGCGTACTCAAATAATCGCCTCGCTCGTGCGGAGCTTGAGCTCGATCCTTCCTTCGTTAGTATTGTTAAATGAAGTAATGGAAATGTAGTTCTTTTTGTCTCCGTTGGGCGAGCCTTTCACAGCTTCCGAATCCTAGGGATCGACTAGTAAGGGTTTGCTGGCTGTTACTCGCTGATAGATTAATGGTGAATTCTGAAAGTTTTTATCCCGAGCTCTTGTGTTTTCCTTCTCTCTCTGGCTTTTGTGTTTTTGCTGATAAGGTGATATCTTTGAGCAGCTTTGATGAGCTTCATCACTTTATAGAGGTAACTTCCAGAGAATTATAGCCTGTTTTCGCACTTCCTGTAGTTAATGATTCGTTTTGGCTCATTTACTTTTTTAGATGATTTTCTTCAGATTTCATTTTTTCAAGGTCCTCTAGAGCTCCTCCGTTGTATCCTAAAGCGGATTATGGAGTTGACATGACAGTCACCACACATATAGCGGAGATACTTCGCCAAGGAATTTGGGCCTCATTGACCGGAGGATGGTGAGTAGCAGTTTTCTACTTGAATACCAGAAAACACAGTAATCATCCTGCAGAAGCCCTTCCTTGGACCATGTGATGCAGTCCACACTGTTGAGGATGCCTCCCCCTATGTCCCACCTGTTCCGCTAGAATCCACGTGGTAAGAGCGCCAGGGTTCTGCTACGCTTTATCGTCTCCGCCCACAATCTCCGCCTATATAGTCGCTTCACTATTGCTGTATAGGGGTGGGTGTCGATAATTCGTACTATTTCGTTTACGTTCACTATCGTTTGTCTATTCGCCGTACGCTCATGTAAAGACAGTGCTATATTTCAAAGCGTTTTGACAAACTTCTTCGCTTTTTTCAGCTGGTGAGTCACATAGCGCTTTACATTCGCATTTAAAGGACTACCCCTCCTATGGTAATCGTGGGCTCTACCTGTAACATTACTTTCAGTCGATACTTTTGGTCGACTCTAAGTCTGATGGTAATAATCGCGAATCCTATCTGTGCGGTTCTGAAAAAAGTAGCCCTATGAATCAAAGGACAGCTTTTTGGTCCCAACTGGGGCACGTCATCGCGATGACGAACGTTTTTGAGCGCACTTGGGCGACGGTAAAGGGGGCGTTCTGCACTTTCGCTGCTCCCAATTGTCGTGTTCATTGCTTTACAAGAGTTGACGAGTAGTTTTGTCTAACTGGGACTGGTATCATATCACTTCATGGCTTCACCGGATTTCACATTTCTCCTCTTGATGACACGACAACACGACAATGAGAAGCAGCGAATGTACAAAATGCCCCTCCCCCGTTGCCGTTCCGCGCCGTTTTTCAATAAGACCCCTTATCCCCTTCTCCAGCGTTTCATTTAGTTCTACTAGCAAATTTTTTGTCAAGCAGGTGGCGGAAGTTAATACGAAACGGAAAAATACAAAACTCCTGAAGTTTCCACATGGGTTCAGTATTTTTTGGTGGGGGCATTTTCTTGCTCCCCATCGATCACGGTGATTCCTCCTGTGAAGACCTGTTAATTTCTGTAAGCTTGTGCAACAACATGAACTCGCGATTTACACTTGAACAGAGTCTAGAAGTCTCACCAAAGTAAGGCATAGAATAAGTGCACGATATCCCGAATTAGTGAAAAACTGTGCACTTGCAAAATGCTTACCCTTCTCCTTCCCTCGCCCCATTCCACCCCCTTCCTCCTTTAGCCAGACAACGCCCTCACATGTATTCCCGCTAGCAGGTCCTTCCAGGAAACCTGGTGTAACCAGGGCACGTTATCGTTGGAAGGAAGGTTCCCATAGTACAACCTGCTCCATATTCTTTCCTCGTGTTTGTGGGAGAACCCTCTTACCACCCCTTCATCTTCCTCCTGAGTTCTTCCAACTCCTAATGCTTTTCCGTGGATTTTTAGAATTTCGAGTTTCCCCCGCGAAAAAGTGAGCGGAGGTGAGAGGTGGAAATGTGTGCCCTTTTTTCTGGGTATCCCCAAACGACAAAGTGTCCTGAATACAGCCTCTCCCACGTGAAACTAGAAGGTCTACAGCAGAAAGCATTTTTGTCAGGGGCGAATACGACCCTCTTTTCTGGGTTTCCCCAAACGACGAAATGCCCCTAATACAGCCCCTTTCTCGCGGGTACCCTTAACCTCGCCATGATGATTTTTAATCTGCTCATGCCCGCGATTCCCTGCCTATGTGTCTGACTTATGGAGTTCTGGAGGGTCCACAAGTTTTCAGTTGAAACCATCCTCAAAATTAATCTTTACAGGTACTATGAACCGAGTCACTCAATATTTTGTAATACCGTACACTTATATCTTTGGTTAGTGCTTCTTATTATTCCACTGGTTGTCGGACTTGTCACTTCCGGTGCTTTCTCTCTTTCTCTTCTCATCGGCTACACTTGCTTTGTCGGTGTACTTTTCGCCATCATAAAGGTGAGTTCGGCTCTTCAAATCAATTTTCATTTTCAGTTCGCGAATCCTTTGCTTTTTCCAGACATTAGTCTCTCGCGTTCATGTCGTATTCGACACATCTGAGCCAATCATTACTACTAAAGTCCTCTCGGACAACGATAATGCTGCTAGAACCGATGGTGGGATAGCAGGTGAGCGACAACGATAGAAGTGGTTTGTGGAGAAGATTAGAGCCATTTTTATAATTTTAGAACAAGAGGAGGAGGATGGTCTGGAAATGGTTGAAATGCAGGAAATCCGTAGGAGGATCACGGATAGTGAGCTCGTCATCAATCATCCAAGGGTTTGGTTTTCTTCCTATTTCATCTGGTTGTAAGCCGATATTATCTTAATAACCTTAGGGAAAGCAATCGAAGGTCTGCTCATGCAAAACTAAAAATATCCTCAGATTTCGTACCCCCGATCCTACTCTGTAGGATCGGAGAGTGCGCGCCAGGAGAAAGTGTAGATGTTGGTTTTTGGAGAAAAGGAGAATCGCAGAAGTTTTGAGCGAATGCGCGCCGGAGGGGTTGAGTATTACTCGGCGGCTGAGCCGGGAAAATAGAGAGCCGGAGAATAGGAATCGAACGATTCCCGTGTACTCCTTCGATGATATTCTTTCGAAATGTCGACTTTGCGACTTCACTTTTCACCATTCTCCTGGAGCCTACACGTTTCCTTGGCGCCTATTCTTCTTTTCTCTCATTCTCCTATTCCCCACGATTCTGCTCCCCTTTTTCTGGTCCGAATAACTTCTTAGCTTTTCTCCCTCAGTTCATATCGCTTTAAGTGAAACTAGTCTAGAGTTAAGCAATGCGTTCTGGAACAATTCAGGATAGTTTTTTTCCAGGGTGATCGGCGAAGAGTACGAATTGAAAACGATCTAAACGAATTACCAAATGTCAGCAAGACTATAGCAGTGGTTCAAAAACGGATTGGGCTAGAGGTAGGAAGTCTGATTCATCTTTTACGAACGCCAGCGAGGCGTCGATTTGTTAAATAAACAGTTTTTTTTTCAGGAAGATAGCGATGAAGATACAAAGGATAAAGTAATTGAAGTGCAGGACATTGCTATTGTTGAGGAAGCTCCTAATCATGACAGCGAAACTGAAATTTCTTTGTAAGTTTGAGCTTTTTGAGCAATACTCTTTTTATTATTTGCTGATGTTATTCATTGTTTGTACGCACAGGTTTTTTCAGGGAGGAAAGTAATGGCGATAGCACTGATTCATCCACAAAACGTGAACTTTCATCTGCGATGGCTCGAAAAATGTCTGAGCCTGTGATGACATTGGATGGTCGGAAGAGAGGTGCGCTGAAGGATGGATGCTGCAGTACAAGGAATAAACTTGGCGCATACGTCTAAGCCTAGATCTAGAGGCCAAAATGAAACGATCGTGGTCGGCGCAGTTCGACTTGGTGAGGGGGAGACCAACGTACGTCCTACGCCGAGGAATCCCCGGCGGGGTTGTACTTTGTCGCTGGAGGGGAGGGGTCATATTTGGCCAGATGGAGTTTTTTTGGCGGTTGGTTTTTCCTGCTTCAGTCGTGCCATTCATGTCGCCTTGAGAGATATTGGCCGCGTTCTCTTTGTTGACTTTTCGCTTTTCGTCGCTGTTTTTCCCGTTTCTTTGGTGTTGTATATCCCCCTCCCCAAACAGTTTTCCGAAGCGGCAGAATCCCAAGAAGACCTATAACTTTCTGCGACCGGCGTGGTTCAGCTGAACAATTTGTGGCTTCGCAGGAGTTTACAGATGTGACCAGAATGGAACCTGTCAGTTAACACGAACTAGCAAAACGAATTAGCGATAGTCCGAAATGTCCCTTCCAAACCGAAAAGTGCCGCTATGGTCTATTGTATAACTTCTTGGCAATCCACATTCATTCAGAACGCGACACAGACGCTTTGTATTCAACCGTTCGACGAGCAAATTCATCCTTGGAAGCATCGAATCGGCTAACTGAAAAAGGCATGCTTAGCCAAGCTAGCCTTGATCAGGCGAGACAGGTAACGGATTTTGGGGGTGCGGTAAGACAGTCGTAATTTACTGCGCATGCGGGCGTCGCGTGCGAAGTGGCGCTTTAAATGACAACGTCTCTGGGTCGGAAATAGCAGCAAGACTGATAGACAATGTGTAAGCAGAACTAGCCATAAATGTCTACGATGCTGCAGTCTGCATGAGAACTGACGATAGCATAGATGGGTTAGTGCAAA